TAAATATTCCATAACAAATTTTTTACAATCTTGTGCTTTTAGTTGAATTTTGTCTTTTTTCATTGATTCTTTGTTCAAATTTACCATAATCAATATCCATTTGTCGTAATTCATTAGTTAACATCTGATGATGTTCTGTTAAATCCATCGAACAGAATTTTTTTGAACATCCTTCACAAAGATATGTTAATTTTTCTTCATTGCATATATCACATAATGTTTTATCATTTTCCATTGCCATTGCCATTGCTATGTTTTTTGAATAAAAGTTCAGAAAACAAATAAATATCTATTTATCTATTTTCTTAGATATAAACTTAAGAAAGCGTGTATATGAAAATACGTGCGTGTGACTAGTCGGTTCTATACACACAAGTGTATGTAGCTGACTCACTATTTACATAGATAATAGCATACGTACACACATACATACTTCACATTTTGATATTGAAAACGATCAAAGAAGTCTTTCATTGATTTGTCATTATTTTTCGCGTATTTTATTTTCATTGGATACGATAAACATCAATAAAATATTATATGTAGATTTCTTCGGAGCAAAGTTAAATTCAATAAATAATCTGTAAATCTATAACTAATGATATGATACTAAATTTTTTTTCTTAAAGAGACTATCTACAAGACATACAAAATAATCTTTGTTTATTTTAATTCTAACCTATTGATATAATCTTCAAATAATTTTTTGTTTTTTTACAAATTTTCTTTTTCTTCTTTGTCACAACAACAGTATCAAACTGATTTTGATTTTAAGTTAAAATATTTTTTGAAATTGAATTTAGTTTTATTCGATAGTTTTTATCTAAACAAACTATTTTTGACATTTCTTCGTGAAATGCTAAAAGTCTATTCATTAGGAGTGTATATATTCAACTGGTGAATAATTATCTTTATCACCATTTGATGGCTGAAGTAAATCAATCATTGTTGACATTGAATGTTTATTATATATAAATAACAAAGTTAAATGAAAAGATTTTATGTAATGTTTTTCGTTGCATTAAAACAAAATCGAAGAATAGATTTTATTAAATTATTTAATCGAATACAAACTATAAAAGAAAGAAGTGTTAATATATTTTTAGTTGCCTTAATAAATGTATGATAATTCATCGAAAAGATGTAAAATAAATAGTTCGAAAGTTTTAAAAATTGATTTCATATTTCATTAACATATTATATTAGAATTTATTCATTTTTATTAAATAAAGATTTCGAATGAATTTGGATAAATTTAAAAAAAAAAAACAATAAAAATTAAGAAATAAATTTCTAATTACATATTTCATTTGTTGAATAATTTTCTCAATGAAATATTTAATAATAAACATCAAATTTAAACAAAAACATATAAAGCGAAAATAAAGTTGTAGGTAAAAATAATTTTATTAGAGCAATTATTTATATATGGACAACAAGACCGAAAAACTATCTCTATCTAACAGCTTCAGCGTTTAGATAAATTAGTACATTATATAAAATGAAACTAATCTGTAAATTTTCTGTTTGTTGCATCATAAATACATTCAAAATAATATGATCAATATTATGTCAGAGTTTTTTTGTATCTAATGATATTAATTCTGAATAATTAACTGAGGAAAATGTTGAACATGAACATTCATCATCTCAATTAAAATGTGATACAACTATCATTCATTGATTTTCCTATTTAAGAAAAACGATGCTTTACATGTTCATATTTTGTACAATGGTAGACTCTCAGTGTGGACATTGATGTTTGAATGATCCACAGCCACATCTAACCGGTATTTTTGGTGAAACTACCCATTCTTAGCCGATGTCTTCGTCTCAGGTGGCCTCATCCAATGCGGAATTAAATTTAGAATCCACCTCAAGACCTAAAGACTTGTCTCAGATTCTCTTAGTGAATATTAAAGCACACAAATACTTTTTATTTTATTTTTAAGAACCATAGATATTTTTCCGCAGTCACATATACTCTTTACAGAATAATCTGAAAATTTTTAAAAAATAGATTTTAAAATTTTTCACAAGTAACTTCATTGATTTGGAACTGATAAATAATTTGATTTCTTTTTTGGCAAAAGAGAAAATTGAATTTCAAATCATTTTTTTATCAAAATATCAAATTAAAGAAAATTTTCTGTTTTAATAATTTAATTTTCTAAAAAAAGAGAAAACTGGAATTAAATATATCTCAATCAACACTTTTTATTCAAAAACTAAAACGAAGAAAATGTTGAATTTCTTTTATTTGAAATTAAACTCAAGAAAATTTTCATTCTGAAAAAATTTTTCAGTGTTTTTCTTTTCACCTAAATGGAAATCTTTTCAACTTTTGAACAATTCTCAAATTTTATTAAATCAAAAAAACAAATATTCGATTGTTTTCATCAAATAAAAATACTCAAATAGAACTTTATCAGAGACAAAATCTTCATGCCGAATAATTTTTATTTCACCATTCAACTGAAATCATAAAATATTTTCTTTTCTTTTCCTTTGAAAAAATTAGCAAAAGGTGAAAAATTTAACATTTATTTTTTGGGATATTTATTCAAAACTATCAAACTATATTCAGTTTTGATGAAAAGAAACCAAAAAGACTTTTCTTCGTTCTTTGGTTAAAATACTTTTTTTTCTTGAAATTTTAATCGATTTTTTTCATTCATTTTCAATAATAAAACTTCACTTTTTCTTTTATTTCTCGCTTATTTATTTAGCAAATAATTTCTTCTCTTTTTTACAAAGTCTAAATTTCATTTACAATATTATTTCAAACTTTACAATTCGATGATTTTCCATATTAGAAACATAAAGATTTCTTTCATCATCAAAAGATAAACCCACAGGACCATTCAATTGATTTTCTTGACCATTTCCACCAACAACAATTTCACCTTCTTCTTTCCCTTCACACCAACGCATTACTCGATTATTCCCCCAATCTGCCACATAGATTTGACCCAAATCGTCAACAATGATTCCTTGAGCTGAAGATAATTGATTAAGATTTCTTCCTTTTTTATTTCCTCCAGCCACAATTGTTCCTTCTTTTGCACCTGTTTTCCATTTCATTACACGATGATTGTTGCTATCTGATACATAAACAGATTGATCTTCATCAACAAACAAAAAAGTAGACTCATTGAGTTGATTAAGCTGATCTCCTATTCCATTTCCACCTGCCACTAGAATTCCTTCATTGTTATAATCACCCATTTTCCATCGTCTCACTTCATTCTTCTGAGTATCAGAAACATAAAGAAATCCATGTTTATCCATTGCTAAGCCATAACAAGCAATATTGTGAATGAGAATTTGTTGATGTTGATTCAACCACTGAATCACTCGTCTGTTCAAATAATCAGCAATGATGATAGAAAGATTTTGTTCATCAACAATCACACCTGCTGGATAATTGAATTGGTTTATTCGATTTCCTTGTCCATTTCCACCTGCAATGATTTTTCCTTCTTTTGCATTATAGTTCCATTCAACAATTCGATGATTATTAGTATCAGCAATAAATATATTTTTGTTTTTATCAATAAAGATTCCTTGAGGGCACTTGAGCTGATTTAATCCTTCTCCTTTTTCTTTTCATGCAAATCTTTGTTTTCATTTTTTTTCTAGA